GCCGGCCGCAAACGGAGCAGGCGAGGAATGACCAATTGTAGCTCGGCATCAGTTTATATACCATCGTGACTGGCCTTCACGCACCAGCTGCCCGGTCCAGACCGCAAGTCGCCGACTCTGACGCTGCGCTGAATTCTGGATCTCTATTTCGTCCGGTTATACCGATATACGTACGAAACTTAATTCTCACACTTCCTTATAACTGGAATAAATGTTCCAGTGCCTGAGCACCTAAAAGCACTGTTGCAGTATACATAAATCAATATAAGTTAATGTTTTTTATCAGGATTCTACGTAGCCTTTTATGATCCCCCCATTGGCTGAAAATATTGATGGGTTGGTGATGATAATGATGGTCACATCCGAAGTATATATATATTTATATATACTACGGATATGAATATCATATATATATACATGTAGACACGTGTCTAGTGGGCGCCTGCTAGCGCAGACATCTTGTCTTGATGTGCGGTTAGTTCGGTGTCTCATTTGATAATCAGGTAAAAAGCGACTGAATAGCTACACCGTCTTCGATAATCCATCGTCCTCCCTTGGTAGACCGTAAGGAGTTGTCTTATTTTCACGTTCTTAACGACTGTCATAGTAACGTTACTTCCAAAACCTATACTCCGCACTATAAGCGGGGGATCCACCGAAGTGGGCCAGATGTTACGCGAATGAACAGTAAATGAAACACCGCTCGTCTCTATGGCAAAAAAACGAAACTGACTAAAAAGCCTGGCCAATTTCAGCTAGATCACTTCGTTTAACAAAAATATGAGAATTCCAGGCTGCTGTGGCTGCACAGCACCCACTACATCGGAAATCTGTCTCATCCGTGCTGCAGAACAGCACAAGGTTCTTGACATCTGGATACTTCCAAACCTTTCCCTCTATCTGGTATGTCTAGTTTCATCCATCAGAATGATTCTTCTTGAGCGGCCTGTTTCTCCTCGATTGCTTGGAGTAACTTTCGAAACCTGTCCTTTTGCCCACGCCCCTTGCAACATTGCAACGTGCCGCGTCTTCTTTAGGTCAAGGGTGACGAAGAATTCGTTGAAAGTTTTCAACATATCACTGAATTATTTTTGTCGCCCCGAGTTGTATCTTGTATAGATCGGTTCCACGAAACACTGCCTTCAAAAGTGCCCTGAGTGTACCTATAGGTCTTTCCACACACAATCTCACATTTGGTTTGTTGCTACAGCGGACAAGTACAGTTTTGGAATCTGCGCTTGTATTCCAGGAGGAGTGAAAGGCAGTGATGGTCCCTCGCCACAGGCAACTGACAGTGATTCGGCTCCGATTTGAAAAGATAACCTTGAGCGTCAGAGAAACTTCTAGGCGGACTCAGGTCTATAGTTCATAGAGATATATGCAGATGCGATAAACACAGTATGATGAGATGGTGAATTCACCATCTCGAGATGCTGTCTCACGTAGAGTCAAATAACAATGGGCATTAAATCAAATAGAGGCCCTTCCTGTTCATCGCTCATTGCAGCTCACATCCAGTTATATCCAGCTGCAGCGGCTTCCGTATCACTAACATTACTAGAATCATTGGACGACGTCCGTACTAAGCATTTGAAGGCTGTTGATCACAAATTGTGTGGTAGTGAAGCATACACCTTTGATCTCAGTGAAATCGAATGTGAAGAAGCATTATTTCAGAATGAAATTCATTCGAAATTGACGAGATGGAGCAGGGCACTTGTGAACTCCAAGTAGAATATAAGCTCTTAGATGAGCGGCAAGAACGGATATCCACCTCCGTCATTCTACAATACTAGGAGATATCCGTAAAGTAATACTAATCGTTAATCTGCTGCACCCTTCCGGTGCTACGCTGCCGTGATACTCAAAGGAAGTACGAGGGTTGGGATACTGCGATGTTGCCCAAACCCAGACAAAAGCAGCCGAGCTACGGAAGTCATGTTCGAACCAACCAGGAAGGTTGCGCCATAACCACTGTGTTACCTCAAGCTGGGTAGTAGTACTGATAGTATTATCCCACACTTGAAAACTACCCACGTAGATTTAGGAGTGAAAGCACAAAGTGAGCTTTCTTTTAACAGATTAACATCGGTGATCCTACGTCGAGTGGATACAGGTTGAATGGATCACAAGGATATATTGTTGCGCTACCTGGGAATGAGGGTCTCGTCGTGATTGATGTTCAGTTGGAGTTCGAACCAACAGAAAAATGCTGATAAACTTCGGAATTTAGCGTGGACATCAGAATTAACTTGAAGTTAGAGAAAATAGAATATGACCGATCTCCAAAGATTGATATAGCATAGATATTTGATCAGTAGGGTCCTTAGCCAGGTGACCTCTCTGTTTTGCCCCGCTTTTATGGCTTTGTCTGCTTTGTCACAGTAGTGTAATGAACATCGTCACTTCGGTGCCATTGGGTTACCGTAAGCTGTTTGCCTCCCTGTGTATCTAGGATACTGTTGAGATACTTCACTTGTAAAGCTCGCACAGTCTTACTTGCAGTGGAGGCTCCTTCGTTTACTATGGATTCAGAATTGTTGTCTGTCCTGAGGAACATTATCCTCCACTAGGCATTCAAGGTGACACAACCCAGAGGTTTGACGTGAAACGCTGAAGTTGAGGAGATTGCTCTAATTTGTGTCGCTTTCTTACTCCCGGTTTCGAGAATATGATCCACGTGCCCCCTCCTTCCTAGCCGCTAACATTGCGAGACATCTTCGCTAACTGCTGTTAATTTCTGTACTTATTGTCTAAGGATGCCCTTGTAAGTGTAGGAGCCCCTCACACTGGTGTGGCCCTGGTGGTAATGTTGATTGTCGATTGTTGCCAGTACCTTATTTAGTTGAGAAATAAGAATGTACTCCTTTTCCTCAGTTGTTTTCGTTTCTTTCTTAGCTCAATGCGGTGTTCGGAAAACCAGGTCTGTTTAGTTACGGGGGCCACTCGTGGAATCGGCAAAGGTATCGCTGTTGGATTAGGTGAACCAGGAACCATAGTTTACATAACGGGCCGTACTTTAAAACAGAAAAATGGAGTCGGGGGATCTTTGGAGGAAACGGCAGCTGAGATTGAATCCAAAGGCGGAGTAAGTAATCTGATTTGGATTTGTTTAACTTCTGGAGCGGCATTGAATCTTATACACTTGTAAATACAATCTTATAAATTTTCATCTACAGAAACCATCCAGTACCTCCAGTGGTCTTCTGATCTTTTGTTGGAATCCTGCACAGAATCGATGACGTAGGGAAACCCACCTTGCCCATAAAAAGTTCCTCGAGTGGGCAAATTTAGCTGGAAAAATACATTTGAAACGAGTCATCATCATCAACGACAGCATGACGTCAGTTGGAAAAATACATTTGAAACGAGTATGAGGATGGATAATTTGACGTAATCTTATCAGTTCATAGTTCACCACTTGCTGTATGAACAGGTTTTCTGCTATCTATCAAGGAGCCACCAATTGATGTGGAATGAACACATGAAAAGTTAAGAGACAAAACCTACGATAGATTCCAGTCAATAAATGTGAAAATACTCGGTGTTGTGTTGACTGTTCTACTTGTAAGAAAGAAAGGGCTAGGGAGATGGGTGTAGACGTAAAACGTGTTCGATCACTAACAGAGATGAACTGCCCATCCCACATATTTATGTCAATTATATCTTGCACGTGGTTAAAACATCCTTAAATGTAAATCGTAAGCGACTTCACGAAGCGACACCATATGAATGACATTTGTTATCTGCAAAGACGCTTAAAACACATATAGGATGCGCTATATTTGGAGTGCTGCACTCCAACATAAGTCTACTATTGTGATTGATAGATACAGTACACTGACCCTCCTGTACTTGTTAGTTTGTCAGGAACTGGATGGACCAACAAATAGGAATGTTTACCGTGAACTCGCAGCTACAGGGCACCTGGAAGGTTCGTCCCATTCAGTTACATGTGAACGCTTGCCAGAAATCTTTATATGTACAACCCAAATCTGTCACACTAAGTTAAATCTGAGCATCGTTGAGCATTCCTGAAGCGAAGTGGATAACTTGGTGATTTTGTGAGGAAATGTTCGTCCTTACCCACTTCAAAGTTTTAAATTGCCTCAGTCCCTAGGGAGAGTGTATGTGGACACCTGTTGTCTAAAGATGACCTCGACATTTCAACCAGAATCAATCGCCGTCCAACTGTGCCATACAACGCACGTGTCAAGCAACGGATCTTGTATATCTGTAAAGAACGATAGGAATTCTCATTCCGTTAGTAAAATTTGGAAAACCTTTTTAATCCACCTTAAACTGTACCTGCGAATATGGCTAGACATGTTGGTTCATGCACGTAGGTAGAACGAAAACTAAGCTGTTTATTTAGGTGGTGCAACATTTACCGAAGTAGCTTCTAACGTCCATTGACAAAGATCCCGGTCATGGGCAACAAACTATCCCCTGAACGCCGATTGCGCTGGGACGCTCGGTGTGTCTCGGGTTGTCAGTCACCAGAGGAGACTTGGTATCATCCTTCCAAAAGGGTCTATTAAACAAATGGTGGGATTATAAATGGGCAACGTTTTCCTTTCGCCACAAAAGCTTCGTCAGGCCAACTAAGTATGTTATCAGGTTGACTGAAAATCAATAAGTGAAATTTTCCACACCTGGCCGACTTAATCAGTATTGAACATTAACCAGAAGTTGTTTGCTGCTTAGTATGGTAACTAACACGACGATTGGGTAGGTATGGAATTATCATCAGGTTGAATCAAGTTTCGCAGCCTCAATCGTCCAGGTTAGGGGAGTATAGTGAAGTATTCTTCGTCCGCAAAGTTTCTTATCCTGTGTGGGTTAGGAACTGCTACCACAGATATGTCGGGATTGGGGAGGTTGGATGGATTTCACTCTGTTTGAGCTTTATACTTTAGACCTATGCCGCTTTGGTGATAACCGCATGCCACTACGCGTGAAATTCGCGAATCTAAAACCGCTCTCCATATGTTTGCCAGTTCCGCGCCGTTTGTTCTATGTACACTGGTATACCCGGCATTTTTTACGACCTCAGCCACCAGAAGCTGCGTTGTGAATTTCGGTCCTCTCAAGGCTTTCCAATTTTCTAGCCATGTTCGTGGCTTTCACTGCACGTTACACCACTGCCGAGTCATCTACCATTGGATAGTATGCATCTGCGCTTCTTTCTGTTCTGATCACGCACCGCTTGTGCTCACCTTACGCTTCATACTGGTACAATTGGTGGATCCTTCTTCATTTGATAGGACTAAGAACAGTACATTCAACCACTGCGGAAAGATTTACATAGATCGAATAGTCAGGGGTTTGTACACCAGAATCTGTGCTTTCGTTATATCTTCCTGTTTTACTACCACACTATTTTATGTAGTACCATGACGTTTTGTTCTGATCCTCCTAGGAGGTCCTATTAATGTCTCACATATTCTATGGATGTCCCGGTACTGCTGGTACAAAAGTATAGAAGGGTCACACACCGAAATGAATGTGTGAAATAATGGCTCTACCATCTACATGTTTCCGAGGAGAGGTTCTTTTAGTTAGTATTTATGTCACCTTACCCATAGATCTTAAAGTTTCATGGTATGGCACTATAACAAATATGTGGCCCCACTAGAGAAGTGATCCTCACTCTGAAAGAGATTTCGCTACCACAAATAAATTCCCCGCACATTCGTCAATTGTACTAGACGGAGACGATGCAGTGAAGATACCGTGTTTTGACGTTGCAAAGGTAAGACCTCGGTTCTAGTTCTCACTTGCTACCGAACTCCGTCTCTAAACATTCGTACACAATTGTCGCTATCACTGCCTTGACATGATCCGATACTAGCTGGACGGTTCACTGATCTCGGTATTCTTTTGATCTTCACAGGAATTTGAGCAGTCAGCTGGTTAAACAGCGAATAAGTTTAGTTGTCCGCTCTAGTCAGAGTACCTAGCTTGGTCGACCAAGAAAATACCGCTAGATAATGGATATTAAGTGAGTGGGAAATTCCCACATTGTGGGGGCAAAGTTCGGTGATAGTTTGTGTGACGCACTTCTCGAATATCATAAAGTTTACACTAAGCACATTCCATGTTGTTCTCGGATTCGTATGGCCCCACTTCAGACACATTTTGGATCCAGTGGAAACAAAACGTCGCACCTGAGCCATTAAAGCATACAACACGGCAACTGACCAGGATAACCCAGGTTCAGCTGAAAGCGCCCCGAAAAAATACGTAGCGTGAGCGATTTCTGCGTAATGTATCGGAGGACCATTCTGCGCGTTGCCTTCGACTACAAGATACTGAGAAAATACAGATGTGTTGCGAAGGCTTAGATCATGGAATGATCAGCGATTTACTCTACCGCTGCCACATACCAACACCTCATTTAATGCTTTCGGATAAAGTAATCCACGCAAAGCCTATTTTTACTTTGAATGGACCATCCATTGAGCCTTCGACATACATCTTTGAAGTACAGCCGCTAAGTGTCCGGCAAATGGGACAAACAAATATCGTTCTTCTGTGGAGATTTAGACCAAAATAGATGGTCTTTCAAGACCCTAAAATCCAGTGGAACCTGCAAGGGACTAGACAGAGTGGTTGTCTCTAAATAGTGTTTTTACCAGAAGAGAAACAATACGATGTTGCTTCGTTTACCACTTAGCAGAGCGTGCGCTCTGGATAGTCTAAACACCCCCACGATGAACATTTCCTGAGTAAAATTAGACTTATACGGAACATTTGACCATGGAGATTAAAGTGCCTCGTTGTCTCATCAACTTAGCGCTCACTCATGTTGTGCAGTTGAGTGATTTATCTAACCACGTAGAAAATGGTATTGATGAGACCAAACCTCTAGTTGGTGAACCACAAATAGAAAGTAGCAGGTAGTGAGCTTTAGACGAACTTCAATCCATCTTTCGTACAACCGACGAAGGTTAAAAGACTCAATATTAAGTATCAGCTCGATCTAAACTTGGAACAGACTTTAATGTGTGTTCAACTGAAGCACATTATCGATACATATTTTTTTAAATTTTATGTTCACATCAATTCGGTGTACAACGGGAGCTTTTTGCTACAGTTACAGAACATAGTCATCAGTTGCTTTTGCTTATTCAGAGTACGATTGATGTCGTCCCTAACCGACACGTGACAGTATTCTGATTTGTTTGACGTCGACCTCCTTTTTTCAGTTGCACTAATTGAGGAGATGCCATTTTCCGGTTTCGATAAGTGAGGTGCAGCATGAGAAGCGCGCAAATCTATGCTGAATCAAGTCGAGGAAAATCAATATAAGGAGTATAGCCTCTTATTGCTCGACCTTTCGGTCGCCCCGGGCGGCCGTTTTCAGGAGCAAAACTATCAGCGCCACGATAGACGGAAGGAACAGGAGGGCCGGTCAGGATCTAATGCTCTAAGGGTAACATTCAAGTGGTACTGTGGTCACGGTGAGACAGTCACCTATGTTACATGGTCGTGGTTTAGTCCATTGTGGCTTCGCCTAATCTTCAATACCCGATCCTTCCTCTCAGTTGTCCAATCACCCAAAACGTGCCTTGGGTTTTCTCATGGGTGTGCATACGCACTTACCCACTTGTAGCGCACGCACCTGTGTGGGACACGACGCGCGTCTCCGTCAATCTTGGGGGTATGATAGGCAAGTGCACTGGCTCACTTCTACCGTAAATCGTGCAAGGCAGCACACCGGTGCAAATGAGTCAGACGATCGGTGGGATGTAACATGACCCTCTGATTAGATAGCACAGTGTACTGTCGTGTCCGAGGTGCGGTAGGATTTACCTCGTGATTTGCATTAACCTGTCACACGCCATAAACTCGAGGAAGGAGGGACATCTATTATCTCCCACCTAATGTTGGGTGCACCCAACGCAGACGCATACGGCCGCACATTCGTGCGAAATACCCGGTATGCGGATTGGATGACTTGGAGACTTAAGCATGACGAGGAGTCGCAGTGGGCTAAATCGTGAAGAGTGGTCAAGACGGCAGTTGCACTGTCGGCTGATGCTTACAAGCCCTCACCCCACAACGCATATAGGTTGCCAGTCC